TGACAGTAATTGTGAAACGTTCTCCCAAATGATACTTCAGTGTAACCCAGGGCTGCAGGGTCTTCTGTCCCTAAGCCCAAACCTCCGGAAAAGAATGAGTCAGGCCCACCAAGCAAAAGTTAGGCAGGGGATTCTCACTCCTGTCCACAGCTCTTCTACACTATGCCATTCTTTAAGAAGTAAGAAGTGCCAAGGGATTGAGCTTGGGGCTGACATGTGCAAAACCCTCAGGTGTCCTCAATCACCATTTCTGGCGATTTCTAAACATTCTGTGGCATCTTCTGGCACAGGGTCCTCATTCTCAGGGGCTGTTTGAACTCAATGCAATGCTGAGCTGCTCTATTTTCCAATAATTTGTATAGCATTAGGTCTTTCAAGCTTGTCCCTGGACGTCTTCAGGAAGCTTTGGGGAGTATTCCTATTATGCTGTACAAAGTTATAGACATATGCCACTAGCCAGACAATAGTAAACCTTTTAAGCCTTAGCAGAGTTCTTTGGAGCAGCTAAGAATAGCACTGAAAGCGGTTTGCTTTCTGCCACGGAACCGGAGGGAGGAAAGTCAGAGTCTGTGGTGAATTCGGCCAGGCTGCAGCCCTACATGGAACGGCATTCATATGGGGCCACAGGAATGCTACCTCCAAGTCTGTGGGGTTTAGACTCTCCATGACCACATCTTGCCTGGCAAGAGCTGTTCTCCGCTCATTGCAGGCCATTTGTTTTGGAAACAAAAACGTGTGATATTAGTTTAAGCTGTTTCTTGTCTCCATTTCACAATATATGAATCCAACTGCCTCATTAGTGGAGTTCATTAAGGGCATGGGAAAGGAAGGCTCACAAAAGGGCTAACACACATTTCCGTTCAATGCAACTTGAAGTAGAAAGACAAGAGTAACACAAATTTCTGGATCCTGAGTCCTTGAGAATGAAAATGGTAGGAAATAACTGAAGGAAAACAGCTCTGGCTTTGCAATATCGTAATTATCACTCCTCGATATCGTATAGGACCGAGTAGAACTGCCTCATAGGGTTTCCAAGGTTGTCATCTTTACAGAAGCAGACTGTCTTATCTTTTTCCCACAGAGCACCTGGGGGGTTCAAACTGCTGACCTTTCAGTTAGCAGCTAAGTGCTTAACCACTGTGCCACCAGGGCTCCTTATCAATCCAAAAACCAAACAAACTCACTGCCATAGAGTCGAAAGTGACTCATAGCGACCCCTCCTTGGGTTTCCAAGGAGCTATCACTACAGAAGTAGATTGCCCAGCTTTCCATCTGAGGAGTGGCTGGTGGATTTGAACCATCAGCCTTCTGGTTAGCAGTCAAATGCCTCAGGCACTGTGCCGCCAGAGCTTCCCCCGCTCCTTTATCAATCAGCCCACTGCAGATCGCTGAGGTTAACAAACAACTCATTGACAATGCCAGTGCTAAGCCTTGTTTCAGAAAAGCTGGCTACATTAAGAATCCTCCTTTTCCCTGGTCCAAATGCCTTTAAAAATCCTTTCCAACCTCTGCTCGGTCACATACCAAGCATCCCCTTGCATTCTCCCCTCTTTGACTTTGGAAGAAAGCAAACAATGTGCGTGGAAACAGCACTGACCTGATGAGCCACCCACCATGGAAACTTCAGCCTGAGAAAACCGGCTCTCAAAACGCTGGGCCAATAGATTCGTTCTGCTCTTCTCTCTCAAAGCATCCAAGATCAGAAGTTAACAAGCCACGTTTCTCTCATTAAGGAAACTATGCTTACCAACAAATCGTTTCCTTCCAGCCAGATCAAACTCTTCCTCAGGGAAAGAACTGATGGACCCTTCTGGTGAAATGATCCTTGGGGTGGCCGCAGTCGTCGATGGCTTGGTGGTGGCTGGTGGCCTTCCAGTCTCAAATTCGTAATCTGAAAATAATATGAAGGTTTGGTCATTGGGCACTTACAGAAGAGTGACACTATTTTCAGTCAAAAGATACCTTTTTGAGATTAAAGTCTAGATTTAAAAAAAAAAAAAAGGAAATAAATGGTCTGCCTACACATACTTTTTTCTAATAAAATAGTATTTTTCTCCACTTCATTTTCCTCAGAAGAATAGTTGCAGATGAGAGATAGGAAGGGAAAAAAGGTATTCAGAGGACAGAAAAGTCAGGCATGGGAATTGGAGTTCAGTGCTATCCGTCACTGGTCCAAGGCCGTTGCCCACCTGAATGCTGTTCCACTGTAGAATCGCAAAAGATTCACAGCAGAAAACAACCTGCAGTATTTTTCTGAGTATGGTCTTGTTTTCAGGGAAGACGTGGGGTCAATCCTGCTAAGGGAACAAATCTTCAACATCTAAAGAAAAAGTAAAAAAGAAGAAGTCTCTGCTCCGTTTCAAGTGCTCAAAGACAATCGAATAAGGTGCTTAGTATTTTCAGAAAACAAGGATAGCGGGACTTCGACTCCCTTATTGGGACACATCATCAGGAAAGACCAGTTGCCAGAAAAGATCGTCCTGTTTGGCAAGTGAAACAGGAGAAACCCTCCACAAGACGGGCTGACCCAAGGCCCGCAACTGTGAACTCCAACACACCAACCGTCATGAAGATGGCTGCAGGACCAGACAACGTTTCATTCTGTTAGACACAAGGTCACCATGGGGGGGGGGGTTGACTCCATGGCAACTAGAAGCAAGTATTATCAAAGGTGATGAGAATCTTTTGCTTCCTAACACCTGCTATTTTTCTTTTAAGTCAGTTTTTGTTTGAAACCCGTGGGATTAAAACACTACATCGAACTTAGCTACGATTGTGTCGAATGTGGCATTATCCGACAATGGACCTGAAGTAGCAGCAGGCAAGGTGAACCCCACAAGTGAGAAGTGCCAAGCCCCAGCGGTCAAAGGCCAGCTCTGGGCTGTAGACAAGATTCCTACTGAACGTCTTCAACTGCACAGTCAACTTGTAACACACACAAAGCAAAACAACCAGAGGATCCAAAGTGGAATAACAGCTATCAGTTGCCACAGAGTTGACTCCAAGGCATGTCTGGGTAGACTCACGCTCCCGGCAGCTGAGAGAGTTAACGGTTTTTGCCATCGAGGGGTGCAAGTTACCATCTGTTGAGTGACGGGGCCAGAACCTGTTTAAGGTATTTTCTATTTTGAATCTTATAAACTAACCTGTACTTGAAAAGACGCTGTGTAAGAAAGCAATGTATCTCCAGCAGCATCCTTTTTATGTAATTAGACACGAGGAGAAAAGGAACGTGTGAGAAAGACAGAGGCGGGGAAGAGGCCTAGGCGTTGTCTCTGCCAAGAGTTTTTACAGATCAAGGTGGAAGGAGCCACAGAGGGTCGAGAGCCCAGAATTTTCTGAGAGGAGGACTTGGGAGGTAGAGAATGGAGGTACGTGGGGGAGGGGAGGGCTGATGTGGAAGCCTCATCTGCATATCACGCAGTTGCAGTTGTCTCTCTCTAGGTCACATATGCATTTTGGGGTAAGTTGGAAGGTGGGGGACAGCCACCCTTAGCCAGCCCTTGGCATGGCCACTGGGCCCAGGGTTCTGAAGGAAATGGCCATCAAGCCCGTCCACTTCATAATTGAAATAAGAGCCTCTGATCACCCCAAGACTATGGCCCTGGGATACACTCGGGCCTGGGATAAAACTCACTCCCAGGGGCTGGCTCTCAGTCCAATAGTAAACAAGACATACACACAGACCACTCAACCCAGGGCGACGCACCCACCTACTCTACAGAGATGCATCCCTTAGAGCAATCGGCCATGGGGCACCAGAGGGTCAACACTCACACGGAGGAAAAGCAGGACATACAGGAGTGGGAGACTAAGAAGGGCACAGGGACGGGGAGGGTTCCCGGGAAGGCAGAGGAGGAGAGTGGGTTAGGGTTGGGCATGGTAATTGGGGAGTGAAACCAAATGCACATGAAATGTTGAATGTAAAATGAATTCTGCTCTGTAAATTTGTACCCAAAGCATGATCATAATAATAATAATAAAAGATCCTGTGATCAGCAAAGAAACTGTTCAATGGAAGTTTGCAAATCCGTTAGTACCTTCATCATATACAACGTAGGCTTCCTCTGTGGGCATCACCGTGTCACTCTCCAATCCCGAGAACTCATCTGTGGGCAACAAAGAGAGGCAGGATCACCAAGTGCTCCATCTTCCCCTCCGTCTCTCAGAATCCTCCCCATTCACCATAATCGTCCAGGGAAACCAGGCACCAACGCCAGCCTCCAGCTTTTTCCGAAGGAAGATACAGGTGTCCCCCCGCTTTTCTAAGGTTTGCTTTGTACCACTTTGCTTTCACAAAACACCTGCAGTCGTACCTGTTTTCACTAACCGAAAGAAACCTGAGGAGGATTTTTGCCTTTATGAAAAATAGCACAAAGTGAAACTAGCATTTGGGGGTTTGTTTTTGTTTTTTGCAGAGAGCTGTGAAAGGGGCAGCGGGCACCCTGAGCAGCGACAGTGGCATTCCCAAGCCCCATCCCCAGCAACTACACGCGGCTGCTCAGCATTGAGCCATCACAGCTCTGAACCGTGTCCGCGGACACTACCTGTCAGCTCTGGTGGTGTAGTGCCTGAGGCATTTGACTGCTAACCAGAAGGCTGGTGGTTCAAACTCACCAGCCACTCCTCGGAAGGAAGATGGGGCAATCTACTTCCATAGTAATACTGCCTCAGAAACCCAAGGAGGGGTCCCTGTGAGTTGAAATTGACTCGACAGTGGTGAGTTTGGTATAATTGGGTAGGTTATTTGGGGGCGGTTCTGGAAATACTAAAAAACTTTTCCCATATGAATGAAAGGTTTGTTCCTTGGCTTTCTGTCATATCAGCTTCAGAAAGGTTTCATAGGAACACTCTGCTTATGGCTAGTGGGGAAAACCTGCAATGAGAACAGTGATATGAACTAGGATTCACAGGGGACTGGTCTGTCCTCCCCACCACCACCTCACTCCCTGAACCCCGCCTGCTGTGATCCCCTGGGGACCCTGAGAAGGGCCTCTAGGGTCCTCACTTCCCAATCCTGAAGGGAGATCCCAGAGGGGAGGACAAGAAGGGAGGCAGAGGCAGGGGCTCGCCATGGCGACCTAAATCACTTCACCTGGGACCTAATCACTCACCTGGGGACGCCTCTGTGCATCCCACTTTCACTCTCTCACCCTCCTCAATATTGCAGCTCTAGAGAATATTCTAGAACGAGCTGTGAGCCCAGCCTCTCCGACACTCTAACTCTCCCAAAGCACACCAGATGGGAGTCGTCTGTGCCCCCCCCCGTCTCTCCCCTAACCTCCCACCGTCTCACAGCCACTCGGGATAAATCAACACTATGTGTCTGAACTTTCATATGAAGTTAGGAAATAATTCCAGTAATTAGACATTTCTCCTCACAGACAGACTGGACTGTGCTGTCAGAACCCTGAGATCCAGTATCATAACAGAATTACACTTTGAAAGCCGTTTACAGCACTTTAGATGTGATACTTGACTATTGCCAGGAAACCTTATGATTGATTATTAAAACTCCCCTGATGCGTGCGCTGGTATGATGAGCATGGGTAATATGTGATCAAGGGAGGTGGGTGATTTAAGAAAACCAAGGCACGTTTGCTTCAATTATCTGGGTAGTTTGAGTAGAAGTCTTTTTGACAAGATGAGATGAAATCAGTTATGTTCTTTCTCCTCTTGGGGGGATGCATTGCAGCTGTAAAATGCAGAATATCACTTCGTAGCTGATAAACGCTTGCAGCAAAAGATTTTCTAACTCAAAAATGTCGGTGAAATTTCTTCTCTCCTGACCTGAGGCCCACAGCAATGACAGCTAACTCTCAATGCACCCTTACAGGGAGAAGCAACATGGTTTATTGAATGCCTTCTGTACACCAGACCCTCTGTATATTTTATCACTGGAGTTAACCCTCACAACAGGCCTGTGAGACATGTCAGGTCATATTATATACCCACTTTTCAGCCAAGAACACCAAGGTTTGGAGAAGATCCACAATGTGCCTAGAGCCACAGAGCTGAGAAATGGAGGCTGAACAGAATCTGAACTTGAGCCCTCTGGCTCCCAAGGACTGTAGATTTCATAAGACTGCCTGCACTTTCTAACAGTTGAGCTAACCCATCAGATTGTGTTAACGCCTACAGAGTTCTGTTAGAATCATTAGTCCAGTATAATGAAGGGAAAATTGAAGTAGAAACTGTACGAACTCTCTCCACTAAAAAGTTATAGGCACTGATTCTGAAGTTTTTTACCATTAGGAAGTCATCTATCATTCTTCAGAAATACCAATGTAATAATTCTTCCAGCCTTCTAAAGCCCACTTTGAATAACACAATGGACATTATGGTGCCAAGACAAGCTCCAGCAACAGAAGCCACAGGCTTCCTCGCGCTGCCTGGCCGCCTCTCTGCACTTTACGGCGGGAAGGCCCGCACCTGCCCTTCAGAGGTCCAGTGAGATGCTCAGTACCTGCTGTACCACGAGGCACCAGCCCCCAGGAGTTCTGATGGGGCCCAGGGATGTTAACAAGTGAAGTCGAAAATTATCCACCCTTCAGGGATCAGCAGACCCATTTCATGTAAAACTATTGAACACGATTTTCCCTTAGGTCATTCCAATGTCAATATGCCTGGAGCCAAGAGGAATTACTGCTGGGCTGGGTCTTAAGTTTTGAGATTCG